AGCTGCCTCTCTCTCCGCTCCCAGACCATCCTCACGAAAAACACGCTGCTGTCCCTAGGTATCAAAGTATTCAGAGATGGCAAGTTTTAAAAAAAAACCAAAACCCAGAGATGACACATATTTTGACAACTAAGTATATCTGTTTGCTGTCAATTCAGTCTGACAACTGGTTGATAAGAAATTTAACAGAATTTTGTTTCCTAGCTATACGTTTCAAATCCCGCAGCTCTGACAGGTAGGCTTGGAGGAACCTCGTTCGATGAGATCGTTTCTTGCACTGGCAGGAATGTTATCAGATGAGAAATCGTGAGTGGGAGAGTAGAAGGAGGGATAGGTGGAAATTAAAATCCGTGTTGGCCTCCTGTGTTAATCTTCCTGATACCTGCGGGAAGAGATGCTGCAGCTAAAACTGGATTTTTGTCAAAAACCTGTGAATTTATTAAAAAATCCCTGACCTGTATTTGTTCATTTCAGTGGGTCTTGATGGAGGGATTATACTTGGGTGATGTGGAGAATTACAGGCTGAACGCTTGTACTGTATATTAATTTCCTACATCATTAATTTGTATAGGAACTGAAAACCATAAAGGGTCTCTAACAACACTTCTTTGTTTAATTTGTGGCTAACTCTTTCAGCAGGGCAGTCTGAGGAAAGCCAAGTAGTTTGCTTTTCCATGAAGGCACCTGTAATGAAAGTGCCTGTCCATTTGTGCCTGCATTCAGCAGCCTGGCTACATCAGTTTTCTTTAACGCAGAGAGAGCTGCTATGAAGCTCTCGTGTTTTATTCCAGTATTGTGAGTGGTGAAGAGGAGGATGTTTTCTGGCATGCACTGAGACATGTAATTTGTGTTACAGATGAGTTAAGTAATCCGAGGTTAGATCATCCTCACCCAAGGTGATTAAATCCTTAGCCCAGCAAATGAGCTGTAGCAACTAAACTGAAATAATCATCTCACCACTTTTCCAATGCTCTCTGTGAATTGGCCAAATTAATAACAGCAGATAGAAAGGCAAAGACTGAGTGTGGGAAACCTGCTGTTAACAGGCCGGGGGAACAAAGTACTCCTGCCAGTGTTCTGGAATTGCTCCCGGACCACTGGTGCTCTGCTGGGTACCGGCGGCAGAGCGTGGGCTGGTCCCGCAGCGCTGGCTCCCGCTTCTTCCAGCTGTTACAGCTGCGCTGCAAGTCGCTCCGCTGCTGCTCTGCCCTCCGAGGTGGTGCCTTTGTGGCTGTGGGAGGGTGGTGTGTGGGTGAGAAGGGAAGTGGCACGTGAGAAATCACTGTATTTGGTCACCAGTAAGGCTGTAACAGAGTTCAAGAGCAACAGAGCTCCTTACTTAGCAGCACTGTGGATTTCACAACTGGCATTTTTCTGTCTGGCTCTGTAGGCTAGTGAGGCAGCCTGTGAGAAGCTGACCAGCCGGTGAACTGGGTGCAGTTGTAATGTGTTGTGATACGTGGCCGTACAAGAGCGGCAGAGCAGTGGAGTCATTTGTTTCTAAAGGGTGTAGAGGCTGCTGCCAGGGCGTGATATTGAACTCGGCTAGACCTGTTCTGGTCTGTCAGTCTTGTGCCACTGCATAGGAAACGGCCAACTCTCCCTAACAAAACTAACTTTATGTTTATTTCCCACCTTCCTGCTTTCTCACGGTCTCCTTTGATCCTCTGGTTCCGTCTGCGTATGCCTTTCTTTCTTGAACGTGCTTATATAGCTGGCTTCCGTGTTTTCTCATGGTAACACATCCCATATATTCGCTTCTGCTTGAGGGAAACACTCCCCATCCACCCACACATGTAACAGTGCTCCGGGCCAAATTCCGATCACTTGTGTCTGTGTAAACCTGAGCAGCTCCACTGACTCTGGCCCTGCTGCTCTGGGGTCGCAACTATATAGCTCTGTGTATAATGTGGTCCTT